TATTTTTAATATATATTAATTTAATAATTTATTAAATTACTTTTATTTTATAATATAATAAAAATAAAAATATAATTATTTAAAATTTTATTTTAAAAATATTATAATTTTAAATTTTTAAAATAAATACAATTTTTATAATATTAAAAAAATTAAAAACTATTTTATTAATTAATTAAATATATTATTTATTTATTTTAATTTTATAAGTTTTACTATATTAAATATATTATAATTATGATTTCTATAATATATTTATTAAAATAGTTCCAGGGTCAGAAGTACATTCTCTATTAGAAATTTCTTCTATGAAGAGTTTGAAGAAGCACAGGATAGATTTTATGAGATAACAAGTTCCCAGAGCAGTCAGTAACAAATCAAGTATCAATTTCAAATCTTTCACCAAGTCTACCTGCTGCTATTCAAGTACAGGCACCTCTTATCGCATCTGGACATGTTTTTCAGTGTCATTATTGGCTTCCAGAGACCAAACTGGCCGCTCATCCGGAGTTAAGTCCCCCCAGAAGTCTGAATCATTACTCTGAACTTGTCTATCAAACAGATTGAGCCAACGTAGAGTGAGACCCTCACATTTGTGAAAATTAGTTCAATATTCAATCTATTCCACACCATTTTGTATGAGGGAAGATAGAGTGAGAGGGGATAGAGAGGTTAATTGTTCCATTGAGGTTACAGAAGAAATCCTAGCTATTGTACCAACACTCTTCTTAATCAGACTTCTTTGACTAATATAAGTGAAAAGGAGTAAAAGAATGCTATTACAAGACATTTATCTTGTAAGTGATCTCAAAGCATTGAGTGTTGCTGCTCAAGTTGTTATTTTGTTGACTTGAATTTTTTTTTTTTTGTTTTAATCATGATCCATGTGTGAATGTGTCAATGACAATATTTTCAAGAATGTTTATGGGGTGCTTTGTACCTCCTTCATCATCCTCTTCTATCACCTAGCAAACCAGACAGACCACCAAAGTTCATTGCTGCACTGAATAACCAAGGTGATAGGTTAGGCATTACAACACTGCCGGAAAAACAGTCCTAAAAACACAGACTCAGAGATTAGACTTCAATTGTTCCACAAAAAAAGGGAAAAAAAAGAATGAGAGAGAAACATGAAAAATGATGATGAGTAGGAATTCTGAATTGTCGTCGACGAATTGAAAGATGAAAAATTCGTTTGTGGGGTTTCGTGTGTGGGGGCAGTAACTAGTTGATTAGCTCAAACCTTCTGAACAATCGCCAACCTCACCCCTCTTTTGTTCGAATTCGACTTCGCGTACGACCACAGTTGCACAGAGAACAAATAATATATGCAACAATGTGGATCAGAGTATCCAAATATATATATATTACTTAACTTCGCTCCCTTCTAGACGGTTTCGCGATCGATCTTCCTGCTCTCTAGTGCTTTAGCCGACCACGGGAAATGCGCAACCGGAATGATGAAGAAGCTGTTGCTGGTATCAGCAAGACCCGCCAGGGCACTGTACCACGCCAGGAACGATGCAATAACTCCGAATCCACCTCCAGCTTTGACAAGAGTAGTGTTAGGCAGAGACTCAGATCCCAGGAAAAATGTGGCCGAGTGCAAGCATTAAAAAGGCAAGGTCGACAGTAAGGAAGAGGAGGAAGAATACGACCGTTGACTTAAGCGTGCAAAGCAGGAGGAGTGTAGTAAATATCCACCAACCCTAAAACAGATGATTAAAGATGAGCCTAATGTCACAACTTGGAACACAACTTTGAAGAAACGAGACAGAAAACGAAGAGAAAGGGAGCTCGGGTTTGCTCACAAAAAGCCACAATCCAACTGCAGTCTGGAGACCTGCGACTCCGTTCCTCTCCGTCATTTCCTTGACAATTTCGAACCCACCAGGGGTGAACATGATTCCATAAGTGATCCAAAAGCCACCATATGATGAAAGCGCAGTGGCACCGAAAGTATTGCCAACTGCCATCTCCCTACAACGCCATTAAACTGTCAGTCACTGCCAGAAAAATGGTAATTGCCTTGGGTGGTTATTTTAAGTTGCCCACTTACCACATCCCAGCCAGTAATTGGACCAAACCGCCATATCCGTATGCAGAAGCAACCACAATGTTTGGCGTTGTTACCCCCCGCGTCTGCAGATTGATCAAGCTGAGGAGGAATGTTGTGAGAGCGAAAGAAGCCAAGCCCATGGGGGCAGGATTGGCGAACTTGCGCTGCTCGACAGAACGGTAGAGACCGGGCTGGAATTCACCACCAAAGGCCGGGAGACGCTCTGCGGTGGTTGAGACCTGGGCGAGAGGACCATAGCCAAAGCGAGCAGCGGCCTGGGCCACTTCGCGCTCCTCGTGGGTCATGGTTCGGCCAGGCTCTGTGCCGGTGGATGAGACTTTGCCGTTGTCAGCGAAATCCTTGTCTGTAGGTTCGCTCATTGCTGCTGGAGAGATTGTGGATCAGCTGAGAAGTTGGGCCTGACGCTGTATAACCCGAAAGGAGAGGAGAGGAGTCAGTCCAGTTCATACATGTATATCACAAGTATAACTGAATAACGGAACACAGGTACAGTGGAGCAAATAGAGGAGCAAGACAAATTGATGTGAGCTGAAGGAGAAATTGGGTATTTAGATTTTCCGATATCCTCGTGATGTATACACACCTGTGGAGGAAACCTTTACCTGCTCAGATCTGATAAGGGAGAGATGAACAGAAAAACGTCGGAGGTATTTAACCAGCCTGGAGAAAAAGAGAAAAGAAGCATCGGCCCCCAACTGGCCCCGGGCGCGGGCCCCCCGGCGAAAGGAAAAAAAAAAAAAAAAAAAAAAAAAAGGAAAACAATGAAATAACAATAGGAATGGGGAAGGCAGAGGGATGTGTGAAAGACAAAGCGTGAAACAACAAAGGGACGAGGAGGAACCTAGGAAGGGTGAAATATAACTATCAGATGAAGGCTGATCACATACCACACAGTAGGAGGGTCGGACAAGCGGATTCTTGGTTCTAATCTGCGGCAATCCAGGCTGGGCTCGGCCAAGGGAAACGAATTTGCTAGGACAGTTGAACCCGCAGTTAACAACAACGAGAACACTCTGAGAGAAACCAGAGGCGGGAGGAAAGGAGCTGAGAAGAGTAGAAGTGGTCGATGCAACAGGGGCGTATTTGTTGGTAAGATATGAAAGACGTGGGTGGAGAGAAAGGGCAAGAAAAATGGGAGCTAACTCAAAGCCTGTTGGTCAGATGCACCCAGACTTTTCGATCAATGGCGTGAATCCCAGGAAAGAGAATTAATTGAGATGCGCAATGGATTTGGACCAATGAAGGAGATTAGGGAAGCGGCCTTGAACCGGGCCTTGCGAGAGCTTCATGTTTCGGCTTGCAGGGAGAAGAGGTGGCCCCACTCAATTCCTTGCGTCGGCATGTGGTATTCCGCAATTCAAAGCATAGTGGTAATTTACGGCGGGGAGATCCAATGGCAAAGGGAATACGATTTGATGTCACTAGATGTCAACCTGTATTCCCAGGATACGGACGGTATTAGTTTCGTGAGTGTATATACATCTCTTTTTTTGGTACCAAGAAACATACCTTTGTACGCCAACCACGCGAAAATGTTGTCCTAAAGTGGAGGTATGATGGAAAGCAAAAATAGAAAGAAGAGGCGAAAAATTAAACTTCTGTTTGGAGGCGAAGGGTCCTCAGAAAATCTGGATAAAATTGTTGAACTGCAACTGGCTTTCTCCATATGAAGGTTGATCCAACCATCGCAGCAGCAAAGCAGCAGCAGAAAGAAAGAGGTTCTCATGAGTATCAAACCTAAAAAGATTTCACATCAGTTGACAGTCAGTCGTATGGGTTGTTGTGTATTATGTTTGTGGAAGTACCTCCCGACACGGCCGACTGACGATATCTCGCTTGGTTGGTTAGTTATTCTATGCAGTAACCACTCGGTACATATTAAAAGGAGATGTGCGCAAGCAATTACCCGTTGCGATTTCTATTGGGATATGGCCTCTGTTGGTAGGTATCCTTACCCATCAGGTTGGATTCAACAATACCATTCTTCCACACAAAAGCGTAAAAGCAAATGGAATCTGAACCCAAAGTGTAGATACCTGAACTCTATTCTTCTGAGGCTGGGCGGTTTGGACAAAATCCCAAAATTGGAAATTTGAAAACTGAAAATTAATCAAATCAGTCAAGAAACATTTACGATTTGAAAGGGCCCATTTCCACGTATGTGATCTTTCATGCCTCCGGAATGGTGCCGGACTAAATATCCTAAGGCTGATATCGCGGTAGATGGCACGCCAATTTGATAGAGTGCCTTTAAAATCAGTTACTTGGGTACATAACTGGTAGACAAAGTAGCAAATGCTTCTGAAGCCTACTCCGGTCTGAATCTTCTGCGCTCCGCTTGAGAAGTTGAAATTCAGCCTGTCATGAACATGAACAAGCATGTGACGCTACTTAGTCAACAATATAGTCACGTGTTGCGGGCTGCAGCTGGTTATTATGACAAGCAGCTATGCCCGAATCTTGATTTTTTTTCCGAAACCGACAACGCCGCAGAACACAGTGGACCTAAATGTTAGCACCTCATTTGGGTCGGCTTTTGCCCTCCGCGGGTGGACGGAGCTATTCGAACCTATAAGGATCAGCAGTTCACTTTGGTTAGTGAGGGGTTATCTATGAACCTTATGAACAAAAAGTAACCAATCCCCATATTATTTCATCTTACCCATTCGTTGGAAACAACACCCCTATCCAGATAGCCCATGGCGTTGATTCTCATGCACTACTTGCCAAGAGCAAAAATAAAAATAAATATAAAAATAAAACACAATATAAAACAAAAATAATAATAATAAAACAAGAAGCTCAAAGCAGAGCAATTGGGATAGTTAAACCACAGAACATTATTTCGAAACAAAGTGCCTAGGGTAACTAATTGACGTTATTTGATTGTTATTATAATATTCTTATATTTCATACTTCTATTTCTTCCCTGCAACCCTATCCAAGATAAAGTAAAATATCTTTTACAGTTAGGGCTAGTTCTCTCAGGGCTTTTACGATCGCATAGGTCTCTCTCATTGCCAAAATGAAATGGAGGGTGAACAAAAGCTGTTTTATACTTCCCCCAACTGCCGTCTGTTGCAACGTTGAAAAGATTAAGAACATCCTGTTTCCCGGAATGGGGAATACGTATTGTATGATCAAGCGAAGCCAATGAAATGGATGAAGACCATTCCTTCATGAATTCCCCAGAATTTCTCTTTTGCACAGTACAGCGCTCTGCAATCCCGTATCTCCCAATGCTTTACAGCTTATCCCGGGGAAAGTGTCAAGCAATAATGTTATGTTTATTTTTAAAAAAAAAAGAGGTACCTTTCGGACTTCATCAAATTTCAAATAGGCCAGCGTTGCACGAATCAGCTCATTTGTCTCCATAGCGATCCATCAGAGCGCCCTCGCAAACTGCCTCTTTCTGAATCCTAAATTGAAATGTCACACCATGTCGCGGCTATTACTGTTGGGGCAATGACAGCCATTATTCTCCCAAGTTGCAACTTGGCGATCTCCCAGCGAACTTCCATCTGTCCGTAAGCTGGACTCCATGAATGGCGATGGGAACGCATGGGGATGAGCGCCTAGGCCAGGTTAAATACTTAGATGGGGGATATAGAAAAGCGGGGACAACAAAGAAAAAAGTGGGAAGAGAGACAGAGCGGAAGAAGCTATTTGTTCATGATCCAGGTGCTGGGGTTCCTGGGTCACAACTGAAAAGTGCTACGTAGAATGAGTTGGTTAGTGAGTGGAGATGATGCTTTTAAGATATTATTCACTGTCAGTGTGTCAATTTCTCCCATATTGTGAGTTACTCGATCGATATCTGCAGTTAAGATAACACTTGATCTAGTGGTCTGTTAATTCTTGACCTTTCAATCAGCTCAGCACAAACTATTTTCACCATCTTCTCAAAATGAAAGCTTCAATGTGAAATACTTATTTCAAAAAAGTCATTAAAAAAACTTAAAAAATGTCAGTATTTCATTTTGATAAAACTGCAACTGCAGCATACAGTTTCTTAAGAATCTTTATATTTCACTAATTAGCAAAATCTATTATTGATATATCTTATACTTGTATGCAGTCAGTGACTCTGATAAGTTCATGAATGTGAAGTTAAGTACAAGATTTAAATTATAATCAAAATCTGACTCACAAAACAAAGAAAACTAATAGATCTAAAATTTCATAATGAGTGACTAATCTAGAACTGACAACAACTAGTTAGTTAACTAACTACATGATTTCTCATTCAGAAATGATGATAATTCTAAAGAGTATACTTTATAGACCCACATTGAGTTTAAATGATATTGTATCAGAGACATCAATCAGATACTATTTGATGTTGAGTCAGCTGACACACTTAATTTTTAAATCTTATTTCATTGAATTTGAGATAACTACTCTTTGTGACATTTGAAATCATAGCTTTTGATTTCTCAACACTTCAGTTACTGTTAGAGAGTGAATGCGAGCTGCATAAGAAGGAAACTCTCTGCATTGCTAAATGCTATATAACGAAATACTAAGCTTGATGGGATGAAAGGGGTTGCTGGGGCCTGCCTGGATTATAACCACCCGCATGGTCGTTTGGTCACGTGATGTGGATTAGGCCTAATCGGCGCCGAGCTTCACCCGACGTCGAGTCTAACCGGGCACCGGGCCTGGCTCGGTCGGGCGCTTGAGCCTAACAGGTACAGAGATTGACTGATAATATCACATGTGAAATAGTTGATTAGCAGCAGAAATGATAAAACTTTAATTAAATAAGAAAAATTTCCAGTTTTATAAATATTAAATAAAAATATTTAGACTTATTCTTTTATATATATATATATATATAAAATAAAAAAAAATTTAAAACTAAATTTTAAAATATTTTTATATATTAATAAAAAATTAATATTAAAAAATATATATTTAATAATTATAATATTTAATATACTTTATTAAAAATTAAGATATTTTTTTATATAATAAAGTTAAATTTATAATTATATTAATTATATTATTTTATATTAATATAATTTATCATTTAATTGATTGAAGTTAATTAATTTATTCAATATATATATATATAGTATTCATATTAATAAAATACTTACTCTATAGACTTCTTAAGCTTTTATTCAAAAAGAAAAGATTCTTTTAACTATTCAGACATTAAAAAAAAATTAAACTTCAAGTATTAAGAAAGCTGCAAGCTTGTATGATATCTCTTTTATCATCTTATAAAATTAATTAAATGATTATATGACATGAAAAAATTTTCAACTTAACAATTGAAAATTAGTCTTTACTGAAGAGTCAGTTCTTGTACAGTTTATTCTATTTATGAATGAACATGATCAGTCTTCTCAAGTGCATACTATATGAGAAACAGTCAATTTTTTTTCTAATCAACTGAGATTCTAGCACTAAGATCAAATCTTCATCTACAGTTGATAAATGCTAAGTTAATCAATTTATTGATCATCATTCTGAGCTCAAATTCAAGTTCTCATGCAAGTACAATTATCAATAAGCTCTATGTGAGAATTTTGAGATTATCTATAAGTGATTCAGACTTGTATAAAACATTATTGCAAAGTATGAAATTCTGATAAATGATATCTACAACTTTGATGAGATTGAATTTCAGATAAGAGTTATTAACACTGCTAGAATGATGACTAAGTCTGAAAAAATCAATTATTCAAAACTGATTCAATCTGAAAATTGAGAATAAATAACTATTATTATTAAAATCAATGTCACAGATTAAACTCTTCATATAATAATCATTTTTAAAGAAAAAATATATCAATTTTATTGATATAAGATAAAAGAGCTATCAGACAACTGAGTTATTAAAGTCAGTGATAATGATTAAATAACTGATAAGCTGAATCTGTATTGACTGAAGAAGATATTCAATAAAGATACTCTACTTCATATGAAGAGGAAATATTGACTGTTGATTCTTGATAAATATAAAAATCATACTTCAACTGAATTTGACTGATTCTGCTCTGAGAACAATATTATTACTTTCTACATACTAGCTCATTTCTCTTATCTTCTTCAGTTAATAAATATTGATTGCTTTTCTTCTCTGAAAACAGTGTATGAACAACTAATAGAGAAGCAGATGCAGCTTGAAATCAATTACATTTGACAAAAAGAAGTTTTTAATTCTATATTTTACTGCTCATATATAAACTTTGAATGAGAACAAAGTCAAAAGCAATTTTAGAGCTGCTGAGTTGATTTCATATAATTCTGAATAAATTCTCTCACATTTTAATATCACAATATATACATTTATCTTTTCTGTAACTTCTCATAGCTCTCAAGCTTTTTGGGTCATGATCACATCACATAATGTACATCAATTGAAGCAGCAGGCTGAGAAGGTAAGAAAATATATCAAACACTATATGCAGAGTTCACTCAGTTCTATTTATCAGACTCTAAGCTAGCTTGTCAAAAGCTGTCAAATAATCATATATAAATGATACTTTTGAAGCAGAAGATCAAGAAAGTAAGAGTTACAAATACAAAATAAAAGAAGAAGCAGAAAATAAACTGTACATATATAACTCAAAAAAGTGCTTTGAGAGTTGAAGAAGACTTGAATTATATATGAAGAGTTAATAAATAAGAAGAAAGATGATTAAAGCTGCTAACTCTTAATTATAAAAATGCACAGCATCACAGTATAATATATATAAAACTATTGAACATACTACTCATATATACTCTCAGTGTGCAGAAAATAATTTTTAATATATTTTATTACTTTCTGTATATAATTATTGCTTAATTTAATTTGAAATATTTTAAATAATAAAATATTAATCAACTAGATGATTCAATCAACTAGATGATAAATTATATTATATTGAATTATTTATATAATCATATAAAAAGAAATTTATTTTATTTAAATTAAAAAAAGCAATTGAATTAAAATTAAATCTATAAAGATATTTTTTATTAAAAAATTATTAAATATTATATTATTCTGATATAAAACTCTATAAATATATAAATTAATTACTATTTATTAATTAAATTAATAAAATAGTTAAATTCTAATTTAACTAAATAAATATTATACTTATTAACTAAATATATATTAAATATGTAAATAATAATAATATATGATAATAACAATAATAATAATAATTTAATAATTATTGAGTTGAAAATTATTATTTTTATTTATATTTTTATAAGCTATATTACTACTAGTAAGTTGTTAAATAAATTTCAATCTTTAATTAAAAATCTGATAATAATAATAACTTAGATATTATTGAGCTATAAAAGAAAATATATAAAATTATTATAAATAATAATTAAAATAATCAATCTATAAATAAGTTTGATAAATTTTATATTACTCTTTTCTTATATCTAGTACAACTACTTGAGAGTAAGTACTTTTTTTAAATCAAAGAGTAATCTCATAGTGCAGTTGCTGATAATATAAGATATAATTAATCTATTTCAACTTCAATTATATTTAATTATTTAAATTAATCTACTTTGATTTTTAATCATCTTTATATATTGTGCTATTTATCTTATTTCTATATTTTAATTCTCAGTTTAATATTCTTATTGTAGCTATTTAATTAGATAGATAAATTAAATTATTATTTTATTATTATTATATCTCTAGTTGAGCTATGACAATAAGTGTGATTGATATATTAAATTTTTTTTAATAAATATAAATAATTTGAATAATAGTAATCTAATAGATAATATGATTTAGCAAATAATTGATTATATTAGTAGTAAATATTATTGTTAGACTCAGCGCCCAACTGAGCCCGACTGAGGCCCGGCGCTCTGTTAGACTCGATGTCAGATTAAGCTCAGCGCCCGATTGAGCCTAATCCACATCATGTGACCACGTGATCATGCAGGTGTTATAATCCAGACAGGCCTCAGCATCTTTTTTCATCTCATTAAGCTTAGTATTTCATTATATAGCAGTTAGCAATGCAGAGAGTTTTCTTCTTATGCAGCTCACATTCACTCTCTAACATAATACTAAGATTTCCTTCTATCTTTTCACTTAGATTTTGATAGAAAACTTAAGTGCTTTAGCTGAATTTAAATCTACTAGTTGAGAGTCTAACAATACATTAGATTAACTGCTGAAGACAACAGCTTAATTCAACATCAGATAATTGCTGCAGACTCTCAACCCTCTGAAAGAGGTCAAAAGAACTGATGATATCTTTTAACAAAATTAACTAATCAATCATGTATTTCAATTGAAAAATTCAGAGAGATAATTTATTTAGACAGTAACTATGTTTATAATGAGATGATAGTGATCTTTGATAGCATCTTTGATAATGAAAAAACATTGAAAAACACAGTTACATGTCTATGAATGAAATGAAATAATGCTGCAGTTCAGACAGCTATCAAACAAAGTCAAATTAATGAGCTTATTGTAGAATATGATAAGCTTAATCACATTTTAATTTGAATGACAATCAGAAATCAAGCAACAAGTTCAGACATCATTCTCTCAAAGAACACAAGAAGATCTATTAAGATTGATGATTGAAAACATCTCACTGATTATAAAAAGTCAAAGTTTGAGCACTGACTCTTTCATATGAAGAAAAAACTCTGACAGAATGCTGATCACTACTTCATTAAACACATAAAGATTACATACATCAAAAATCAGACTGATGAGAATATGATATATCAC